AACAGCTCTTTTACATTCTATATTTGATCAACTGTGTAGGAATAGAACATAAGTATAGGGTTTGGGGTTTATCGTTTTGTTGGATAAGTTTTAAAAGGTACAAACCTGAGCGAATTTCATGATTTTTTTATGAAAAGTTAATAAAAGTGTTAACTACATATTATTAAAGTGTTTTTATTACATGAGTGCATCAAATATTCACATCTACCATATTTGAGGTTTGGCCGAGTTATGCCAACGACATGGTTGACTTATTGTAGAATAATTCGAGGTTTGGCCGAGTTATGCCAACGACATAGCTGACTTAACGTAAATAAATTTGTGGTTTGGCTAAGTTATGCCAGCGTCATGGTTGACTTACACAAACCATTTCGAGGTTTGGCTGAATTATTGTAATGATAACATGTAGCTCATTGTTACATGATGGCTCAACTCATTCAATATGTAGTCATGGAGAACCAACTTCACAAGCTTTTTGTGTGTTCTTTCAACATCTATATGCACAAATCTACACCCTCTATCGTCAGCGTTAAAATACATATTTGTATTTTTTACCCAATTACCATAAACAACAATTACTAAAACCAGATCCATCAACGAAAATGAAGAACAGAAATGAAGAAAATAAGTGAAAATGAAGAAAGTAAGTGAAGTGAAGAACAGAAAATGAAGAACAGAGTGTAAGAAAAAACACGAGCTAATGGGGGACCTTTCGTATTTCCCTCGTTTATGCTGACGTGGAATTGTGCATTTGAAGTCGTAAGTCAGCCACCAAACAAATTTTAAACTCAGCCAAAATAAATCAGCCATCAACACAAATTAAATCAGCCACAACATGAAAAATATTTAAGTAATTAATATTTTTTAAAATGCCAAATTCAGCCGTAACGTCAATAAGTCAGCCGTAACGTAAAATAAGTCAGCCGTAACTGGAGGCTATATTAGCAATAAATCTTTTGTCTATAAGTCAGCCGTAACATGGTTGAGTTTTCCGTTAAGTCAGCCAATTACAACTGAGTTATGTCTCTGAAACATAAGTCAGCCGTAACGACATTTGATAACTCAGCCGTTGTCGATAACTCAGCCAACCGGAGAAAGTTAAGTCATCCGTGTCGATAACATAACTCAGCCAAACTTTTGATAACTCAACCATCGGACTATAACTCAGCCGTAACGGCTGCTTAGTTATTAGCCGTTTTCTCATAACTCAACCAGATTTTTATAAGTCAGTCGTAAATATTGGCTGAGTTATGATCGTAAGTCAACCGTTGACCCGAAACTCAGCCGTTGTCCCAGAACTCAGCCATAACGTGATATAACTCAGCCGTAACGTACGTTATGGCTGAGTTATTGGTGGCACGCGCCTTTTTGTCTGACGTGGCAGTGGTATTTTTCGTAATTAGTTTTTTCTGGTAACGTGTAAAAAGGGCACGCTGCTAATTAAAAAACATTTAAGGATAAAAAAAAGTTTTGGATGGTTTCCGTCAATACACCTAAAATGTAGTACATTTAAGTAATTCTTTCTTAATTTTTTTACTTTTTAATCTGAATGACTTCATTGCTAAATTTGCTTATGTGTGTCAGTGTCCTTGTTGTAATCTCTTTTTAGTCATTTACATTAACGACGAAAACGCACTCATGCGTTTCACTTATGTTGTTGTTCCTCTTATTACGTCTATCTTTTTGAATTTGTCTTTTTGATGATAGTTTAAAGTGAATTCCTAATTCTAACAATATTGATCTTTTCGATCTGGGGTTATTGGATTCTAAATTATAAAAAATTTAGATGACTATACTAAAATCATAAATTGTATAATTTTAAAAGATTATTTGAGAGTTTTATATAATCTTGTTGATTAGTTTTTTAAAGTCTTGTAAAACTAGATTCGGACCCGCGCTACAGCACGGGGGAAATAATTACATATATGTAACTTTTAACGGATTAAAATATGTTACATTTTAATTTTATTGCAGTGCAATCGATTACGGTAATCATATATTTGTATAATAAGTTTAAATAAATTAATAAACAAAAAATCGA